AAAATATCTTCCTTTTTTTCTTTTTCTTTTCTTTCTTTTTCTTCTTCTCGACAACAAATCCTTAGACTCTTATCTTAAACGAATGTCACCTGGACTTTATCAATCGAGACCTTCGCCAAACAAGTGGGTGGACATCTGGCGATATCCACAACCAATTATTTGTTCTGATAAAATAATTTTTCTATTATGGCCAGCTCTTGACACAAAACAGGTGCCTTTTCCAAACGACATCTCCGTAGATAGTTAATGGGTCAGTCTTTCTTTCTTTGTAACTCTGCGGTTGGTCCAACGAACATTTTTGTTTTTCGCGACCCAATTAATTTTTATCTCTCATAATTCTGCCCCGTAGGCCACCTGACCGACCTGAAATTGTCACCATTGCCATGGGCAGATGGCTATCTTGTACTCGGTGCGCCCTCATAAATCAAACGCGACAGATCCGCGATCTTAATTTCTTCGCTAATGAAAATAAAATCTTTACCACTTTTTTTTGTTTAGAAAAAAAATAACATCGTCTTTTCGTGATAGATTCTTATCACCTAATTTAATTCTCGCCTTTTTTTCTTTTTTTTTCACACAACCCTAAATAGTTTCACAATATACGGATCGCTATTCTCTATTCTATTCACTATACTATTTCTATATTCTATTCACTATACCATTTCTATATTCTATTCGCTATACTATTTCTATATTCTATTCGCTATACTATTTCTATATTCTATTCGCTATACCATTTCTATATTCTATTCGCTATACTATTTCTATATTCTATTCACTATACCATTTCTATATTCTATTCGCTATACTATTTCTATATTCTATTCGCTATACCATTTCTATATTCTATTCACTATATTATTTCTATATTCTATTCGTTATACTATTTCTATATTCTATTCACTATACCATTTCTATATTCTATTTGCTATACTATTTCTATATTCTATTCACTATACCATTTCTATATTCTATTTACTATACTATTTCTATATTCTATTCACTATACCATTTTTCTATTCTATTCACTATACTATTTCTATATTCTATTCACTAGACTATTTCTTCCTTCTATTCACTATACCATTTCTTTGTTCTAATCACTATATCATTTCTCTATTCCATTCACTATACTATTTCTCTATTCTATTCACTATACCATTTGTCTATACTGATCACTATACAGATTACTATTCGGATCACTATTCGTTGGTTATTTTTCGAGCGAGTATTATAGAGCAACTACTATTATTGCGAGTCTTATTCGACGGTGTCTGACACCAGCTTTGTTCAACGGCATTACTATAGGTGTATCTGCGATTACAAAGTCTCTACTACAATGAGCATTACAAAAGTGACAACGTGTATTCGTTGACATCACAATTTTTTTTTCTTTTGTTCTCATCTAATCACTTGTCTGCGGGACATGCAGCATAATTGATGTTGCATGTCGTTTCTTCGTTATCTCCTGCCATAAGCTCTTGTTTTCTGTTCAATATCTCATGAGATCCAAACCAAATTTTATATTTATCATTTTCAACGACACCTAATGGTTTTTGTCCATACAACGATCCCGCCCACTTCAATACGTACTTGTAACATAATTCCCAACGTATCCTTCTTGCAACATTACCATGTCTCCTTCTGTAGTAGACTTGAGGTAATTTACATTAACAACATGATAGGCTGTTTCACATTTATCAACACACATTCATTAAACAGGAACTCAAAAATTCTCTTCCGATGGTTAACGGTTATTGCTATTAAGCTTTAGATAAAAACTGTGGAACATGTGCTCTTACATCCTTGTGAGAATTAATTGAAACAACCACTTTAGTTTCCTTTATTTCACCATACGGCCAATTTTAGATCCGCTGGGGTGACAGGGTTTAATCGATTTCTATTTTTCATCAGATTAGGTCATTTGCAGAAGTGTGCAGTAATATGAATCTATTTTCGAGGTGTATGATGAAATTTTTTTAGCATTGAAAACTATTGTGTCATCCGTGATTACATCCGAATTTATCACGCCCAGACACTATTGTCCCGACTGTCGATTAGTTGTCCCACGGCCATTGTCTGCAATGTAAGTTACTCCAAGGAAGCGTAATAAAATTATAACACTGCACGAACACACTGTCAAGCCAACCAGTGAGCAAATCGAACACTATAGACTGGCCTGGAAATTCTCTTGATTTTTTTAATCCAATCGATAATCTGTGGTCGATTTGCAAGGAACGGCTTCGGGGAATGGATATACGAAATACTAACATGTGAGCTGGGTCATGTTTAATTGGAAAGATTCAAAATAATGGTAATAATAACGGATTTATACGTTTTATTTTAATTAATTTAAACAAGGGGTGTACGTTGGGAATCTGGGGGACGTTTCGCTGGGTATGGCCTGCTGGTTTTCGTAATATTTAAAATGTTATGGTATTTTGTCACAATTTGATTATCTGATGTAATCTTATTAAAATCGCGAAATGAAAGTTGTCTTGAACGGCCACTCTTCTGGGACTTTTTACAATTATTCATGTGTCCCCAGTTTTCTATCCTTGAGTCTACATTCTTCCTAGTTTTCACCGATCACCTTGCCGATGTCATCACATCAGGGAGAGGGACGCGTTTCGTCTTCTCAGACAAATGTTTACCATTGAGAATCAACTTTCTAGTTCTACTACTACGAAAATTGGTTACTGTGTCGTACTAGATAATTTATCTCGCCAGAATGAATCTTGCACGTACAAATTATTTGAAACAAACACTTTCACCATACCCCCAATTTTAGACTCACTGGAGTGCAGTGTGTAATCGATTTCTATTTTGTCCTCGGATTAGGTCATTTGCAGTAGAGTGCAGTAATAGGAATCTATTTTCTGGGTGTATGATGAAATTTGTTTGGTCTTGAAAAATATTGTGTTATCCATGATTCCATCAGATTTTTGTCACCTCTAGACACTATTGTCTCGACTGTCGATTAGTTTTCCTATGGTCATTGTCTGTAATGGACGTTACTCCAAGGAAGCGTACGAAAATGGTAACGCTGCATGAACACACTAGCAATACTTACAGAGATATTGCGGACAGTGACGGCCATTATAGACGTTTGGTGCCATGAAGCCAAAATCTGTGAGGACTGCTCTAAATTCGTGAATTCCATGCCAAATCACATCAAATAAAGGAGGACATATGAAGTTCCAACAATTGCACTGGGTCATGTTTCATGGGAAAATACGAAAAAGTGAATAATAAAAAAAATATTTGTTTTTTTTTTCAGTTAATTTACACAAAGGTGTATATAAATCTACCATTTGAGAATGGCGTCAATATTGCTAATCGAGTGATTGTCTGAAGACTCTTGATAAAATCGAAAGATATTTGCAATATTAGTTGGTCTGTTCGTAGAATCCTTGCTTTAGTCGCTTTAGAAAAAGTATAAGTATACCATTTCTCCTCAAAGTTATAGTGCCAACTGGGGGGCAACACGTCTATAAGAAGGTTTAGACTGAATATCAAAATAATCTGCACTGAAGCTATTTTTTTAAGCATTTCGCCCCGAGCAAGGCGTGAAGCCACTAGGATGCAGAGGGTTGTAGAAGATTTGGAGCAAGAGCAGATCGGAGTGATAGTAGAAAGGATGAGGAGAGGGATAGTGGATAGATCAAGGTAACTGGAGATGTCGATTGACATTACATTTGAATAGCTGGAGATTATAGCTCTCAGGGAAACAGTAATTGGGAAGGGTGTTCCACAGGCGAGAGTTGCGAGGTATGAAGCTATTGGAGTAGAAGAGACGGCTACATTTAAAAGTTTCTACAGTGTAAGAGTGGGAGCGGGATGCCAGCCTGGTAGGGCGCTTGAATTCATGGAGTCTGGGAACCAGTGAAAGCAGCTCATCGGAGCAATTACCATGAAAGTATTTGTAGAAAAGACAGAGAGAGGCGACGGCGCGTCTGTGAGAGAGTGACTGTAGACGAGACGCCAGATCAGGGCCAATTATATTACATATCCGTCTCTGGATCTTGTCAAGAACTCCGAGGTAAACAGAAGTTGCCCCAGACCATATATGGCAGCAATACTCCATGCAACGGCGAATGGTTGATTTGTATATTTGAAGTATCGATTCCGGGGAGAAAAATTTCCTGGCGCGGTACAGAGAGCCAACTTTCCTCTCGGTGGAAGAAGCAATTGACTCAATGTATTTGTTCCATCTCAGGTCAGCAGTCAACGTGAGACCGAACAGACGCAGGGAGTTGCCCTCAAGAAGTTGACTATCAGACATTCTAATGGGGGGGGGAGGATAGGATCTCTATGGTAATAATTAGAGAGTAGTTTAGTTTTTGAGGCGTTAATGTTGACCATATATATGTGTGTGTGTGTGTGTGTGTGTGTGTGTGTTTCCTTACACTTACCTGCGTAGACCTCACGGTCGAAACCCGGGTTGCTTGCTTGGTTGGTTGGCATTTTTGCCTTTTCTCATACCTCTTAGATCGGCATATTCTATTTTGAATTTTGTATTGAGCACTTTTTTATTATCTATAATTTTTAGGGGCGGCTGTTATCAGTCTTCCCTTTATATTTCTATCGTATATATATATATATATATATATATATATATATATATATATATATATATATATATATATATATGCGACTTACAAGTCTACCTAAATATTTTAAGCCGAACCCGTTTTAAGCGGTTAGGGGAATTTTGGACTGAGGCTACGGGGCTCAGATTGCCCCACATTAATCAGCCTTGCCCCACATAAATACCGTCAAGTTGGGAACTGCGAGACTAGCGGCCTTCCGATAGCAGCCGCAGACAAATGTACTTACTCGCGACGACCGTGCGCATAACTATTTTTTTCTTGCTTGGTGTACAGTTTTCTACTATAAACCTGTGACTATTTATCCACCGTGTTTGTCCATTCCATATTCCTATTAGCACGGAATATGACAGAAACCAAGAAAACTCTGCCAGTCAAATCCATGAAGGATTACGGCCATATCACGGAGAAACACCGGTTCCCGTACGATCACCGAAGTTAAACAACGTTGAACCTGGTCTGTACCTAGATGGGTGACTGTATCGGAACGCCATGCGCTCTAAGCATGGGTTTCTGGGTGATGTAATGTATAATGGCTCGGAATTGTTGATCGTCGAGCCAAGTTTCAATAACCATCGGGTTCGTAATATCCACTTACACGCAAATACACTTGAGAAAGGTATGAATCCACTGCTTCTTCCCCCTGCTATAGATTAATTAGTACGCCTCGTAACACTAAAACATTATTTACGTCCAAAAAAAAAAAAAATTCTAAAAATATTTCCTGGCTTTAAATAACTTACAATGTGTTGATAAGTCTTAAAAAATCGAATCAATCAAGCAAAATCATCAAAGATGAAGAAGAGGCTTAAAGCAATATGTTCTACCAGTGAATGCTTGGAATAACGTCGACACAACATGTAAGCAATTTGGAAGTTTTAAAATGGTTTCCTTCTGGTTTCTGGTTTCACTGAAACTTCTACGCCGATAAATGTTCCACTGCCCACTCATCCATTTTACGAACTGGAAAACTAATTTATTGGTTATCAAATTTAATGTCTGTTCTTTCCAATGTCAATCCAAAATGTTTTCCAAGCGTGGGTTAGATTTAACTGAAATTCCATTAACACGTGTAATGGAAATTCTAACAACGTACATTGTGGAAAAAATGTTCAATATATTTTCCACCTAAAGTTCTCAGCCTCCATATAATTAACTGAAACTAGGCAACATTTAACGAAATATAATTCTATTTTTTTTTAATTCTTTATTTCCCAGTAACAATTTCACGGCTATACATAAATTTATTCTAACTGAAAATTTTATGGTTATTCATAATCGCAATTGAGTGACGTTTTCTTTATAAATTTTATAATAATAATAATAATTTTTAAAAGTAAAATTACCGAATTTGCCATGATTCTTTTCAGATATCTTAGGTAGGCTTGCTTCATTTTACGATATGACAATACTTTCTGTATTATTTAATATTGTTTGTCTTCGTTTATAATCGATCCTGACCAGGAATCTCGGCTTCAGTCACTTTCTCACCGACATGATGTGGCTTCCGTCTGTCTTTTCTACAAATGTTTCCATGGCAACTGCTCTGACGAGCTTTTTTTCCTTGGTGCCCCGACTTGCATATATTTAAGCGTGGTACTAGATTTGCATCTAGGTTCACCGTTTTACTGCCGAAATAGTTAAATGCGACCGCTACTTCTAGTCCAAGAGTTTTTTTGATCACATCATCCCAGCCGTGCAATTCCCTTCTGTTTAATTTCTCCACCGATAACTACAACCTTCAAAAGTTTAAAACTCTACGTCAATCGCCGCCTTCCATCTTTTTGAACCCCGTTCATCTGTTGTTCTTTCCTTCATCTTCCCTATTTCCAGTCTTCTCTTTTTCTTTCACTTCCTGTAGCCCGCTATGTACTAGCGACATTTCCGCTTTGCTTGGGGTGAAATGATTAAAAAGATAATTTATTGATGTAATGGCGAAATGCGTCAGTCACTTCACCTCAAAGAGTTGCTTTTCCTGCATTTAGCATCTGCTGTAACTCCTTTCCGTTTCTTTGTTTCCTTTAATAACTACAATCTTCAAAAATTTAAATACAACGTCAATCGCCATCTTCTGTCTTTGTGAATCCCGTTCATCTTTTGTTTTTTCCTCAAATCTTCCTCTCCATGGTTTTCTCTTTCACTTTCATTCCCTGTACCCAGTGGAGTACTTTTACTCTTATCAGGAGGTTTTGAGGAGTTTAAAACCAGCTCTTAATTGTTCTTGTTCCCAGGTACACCCTCAGCAGGGTTGGTATCACCAGCTATGGAAAATAGTTGACCCCCAAATTGGTGTCAAAAGACTATGAAAGTGTAAAAATATATATTTTTTTAATAGTCAAAATACCAGCAATGCATTTTTGAAAAATCATTATAGCAATACGTTTTTGGACAAACTTATTACCAGTAATAGATTTGACTCTCTACAAAATCCCTCATTTCAAAAAATGTGTTAATGAAACCTTATCAACAAATTGATTTCTTACAAAGAATACATATTCTGTTCATACGAACGTATCCTAAAAATTGTGTCAGCGTTAAATAACTCATTGAGGTTGATATGCCGTAAAACGAAATAAATGAAACCAAATTAAACCAAAGAATACATATTCTTTTCATACGAACCTATCCTAAAAATCTTGCCGGCATTAAATAACGCATTGAGGTTGATATGATGTAAAACAAAAACCAAACCAAATAAGATTCTTTACAAAAGGCCTCTTTAAAATTAGATTAATGAAACCTGATTTACAAACTAATTTGTTTCAAAGAATTCTTATTCTATTCATCCGAGCCTATCCTAAACTTTTTGGGCACTAAATAACGCATTGAAGTTGATATGCCGTAAAACAAAATAAATTAAACCAATACGGAGGTCTACTTCAAATGCCTTGAGGTGGTAATGCTGCCCAGAGTCCTTGATTTGGTTTGGGGATAATAATTATTAGGCGTTTATATTTGACTCTATACACATTCATTTCGGCCATATATCTTTGAGTGTATAATTATTTAATTTTCTAAGAATAGGAAAGATATTGGTCATATATATTTGAGTCTATAAATATTTATTTGGTTCGAGGATGGTAAAAATGTGTTGCTTATATTTGAGATGAGCTAAATGCTGGCCATTTATATTTGATTCTAAATGAATTTATTGATCCAGCAATATTAAATATTTGCTTTTTATATTTAGGACTATAATAAATTATTTGGTTCGTCCATATTTAAATCTCGGTCATATATATTTGAATCTATATACATTTATTAGGTTCGGGTATAGGTAAATATCTGTCATTATATTTAAGACTATAATAAATTATTTGGTTCGGCCATATTTAAATCTTGGTCATATATATTTGAATCTATAAACATTTATTAGGTTCGGGTATAGGTAAATATTTGCCATTATATTTAAGACTATAATAAATTATTTGATTCGGCCATATTTAAATCTTGGTTATATATATTTGAATCTATATACATTTATTAGGTTGGGGTATAGGTAAATATCTGTCATTATATTTAAGACTATAATAAATTATTTGGTTCCGCCATATTTAAATCTTGGTCATATATATTTGAATCTATATACATTTATTAGGTTGGGGTATAGGTAAATATTTGTCATTATATCTAAGACTATAATAAATTATTTGGTTCCGCCATATTTAAATCTTGGTCATATATATTTGAATCTATATACATTTATTAGGTTGGGGCATAGGTAAATATCTGTCATTATATTTAAGACTATAATAATTTATTTGGTTCGGCCATATTCAAATCTTGGTCATATATATTTGAGTCTATATACATTTACTAGGTTCGGGTATAGGTAAATATTTGTCATTTATATTTGAGTCTATGAACATTTACTTCGTTTGGGGATAGGTAAATTTGGTCATTTCTGTTAGACGCCTAGGTAGGTATGTATCTTATCTGCGCATCTTATGTTGGTAATATTATATACACCGATATTAAGTTTTACTAGAGTCTCCTGCTGTCTTGTGATAAACACGCTGCAAAGAGTAAACAAATCCGTTGAGAAAAACAAACTTGCCATACGCCCCTATCTATTTTTACTCCTAGTATATTTTCTGGTTTATTTTCACGTCTTTTCTTTTCCAAATAGATCTAATTCCACTAAGTGTTCCAACATATCATTGTACCCTACCTTGTCAAATGTTTTCGTGTATTGTATAAAATATTAGTACATTTGTTCTTCTGTATGTGTATATTGTCCTGCTAGGTATCATTTGGAACATATATATTGCATGCCTTACTCCATTGTCCTTGAGAAAGCAGCGCCACTTTTTGCCATATTTCCGGTCTAATTCTGCTCCGCGCCATGTTCATCCTGATTCGCATCAATAGCTTGGATATGACGGTCATTAGACTGATTAACTGATGGTCTCCTTTCACATGGTTTTTTAGGCAATGCTTTTTTCTTTTTCAATTTTATTACTGATTATGATCCTATACGAAGCCGAAGAACACCCTGAGATTATTAAAAGAATTTGTTGTGTGGGTGCTAAAACAAGAACCCACGATTTATGAGGATTTTTCAGAAAGATAACGTTTATTATAACACTTGAAGTTTATAAGATTTTGATGCTATGGAAAGAATCCTCTTGGGAGTCGATTCTACAAGGAGATTTTTTTCCCGACATGTCTTTATGACGACTACAATCTTAATCTATCTGATAGAAAATAAAGGGATGTCTAGATTTTTTTACTAATCACACTATCCAAGACTGAAGAGCCACTCAAGCAGAGGGTCACTGAAGTTGTTGTATGATTGATAAAATAAGTGATAGCAAACGAAATTTATGACGATATGTCGAAAAGATAACAGTTAATATAAGACTTGAAGAGTATACGATTTTTGTATTCTGGAAAGCAACCACTTGGGATCCGTTTCAACAAAAGCAAATGAAAATTCCATGAAAAGTGTTTGTTTTATATGTTTAACGGCATATCAACTCGTTATGGGTCATTTAATACCGAAATTTAATTTCTTTGAGGCCTTTGAACTGATATAAATAGGAAATAAGTTATTCTGCTTTCACAGTTGAATACATGGTAGCTAAGACACAGCTTTTGTGCATGTACATGTTTGTGCGGTCATAATTACTAGAAGAGTTGATATGTGTTGCATTGTTGGCAATTTTACTATAAATAGGTGTTTTTATACGTTCATAGTTTTTATTTTCTGTTTGGGTGTTAACTATTTTCCCATAGCTGTGACACCCGAGTATGGGGGGATCTGGGAACAACAGCAATTGTCCTTGAAGCCTCTAATCTCCCGATCGGATACCTTCCTGTCGAATTTACCGAATGTTTTGTCACCCAAATATATAAGAATTTTCTCTTTCAACGCTCTGTTGACAATTATCAAGGAGAGAGTTTCACATGAAGAATATCAGAATTCCTATCAATTGAAAGACGTCGTTTGAAGAGCCTTTGCAACAATCAACAAATCACAGCTTCGTAAAATATTA